GCCTTGGGGGATGAGGATATGCTCAGTCCTGGTGTGACTTGATAAATAAAAATAAATTAAGTATAAAATAAATTTCAGAGTTTTCAATTTTTAAAAAGTAACATGCTCAGGAATTAAGCTTTTTTTTGCATTGATAGAGGTCTCTCTTTTCAACCTTTTGTTCCATCTAGGCTCACAGCCTGTTGGACAGTGTTGCCCACATTCAAGGCAGACTTCCCATTTCAGTTCACTTACACACATCATACGTCTCTGAAAACACCTTCAAAGATACACCTACAAGTGTAATTTATTGATTTTTGTTGACATCTCTCAAACCAATTTATTAATGAACAACAAAAAATACTTCACATTTTGTTAAGAAATGTACCCTGTAAAAATATTGAGTTATGAACATCAAAAATATTTTAAAGGTGGAGAAGAAATGTAAAGTTTGTTTATAGAATAAAAGTCATTTATATTAGCTTAAAATAATTTTTATAAATGTAAACATTTTTCACTGGTACTGAAGGAAACTGAAACACTGGAACCCATAGTAGACGTTCCAAGGTTAAGAAGAGAAGACTTACAAGACACCACTATAGAAATCCTCTAACCACAAAGAATGAAGAGAGAACATGAGCAAAACCACCACAAAAGAGTTAGCAGAACGGCAGTAGCGAGTCCTTACATGCTAACATTACGGTGAGAGTAAACAGATTGAATTCTCTAATCCGAGAAAGAAATAGAACGCTTATAAAATAAAGGAGACAGTACAACGGGTCTCACAGAAGAGTTAAGCAGCCACTTCCAACAATTACAAACAAAATGGATGGCCCAGAAATTAGGAATACTTCATGGTTACAAAATCCTGAAAGTGTTAGACATCAGAACAAATTATGAGTAAAGAGACTGAATCCAAGACAAAAACAAAGTGACTCCATGAATGACAAGAGGCAGAATAAGGAGAGAGTATGTTCTGAGGGAGGAAAAAATAAAAAGAGAGAAAACACATGGAAATTAGAAATTAGAAAAGAAGTGACTGGGCCTGTAAAAAGAATGGAGAAACAGAAAAGCAAGAACCCAGGAAAGCAAGAACCAGCTCCAGCTCCACCCACATTCCTCAGTAGGGATGAGGGAGGATAAAGGTGGGAACTGAAGGTACAACCCCAAGGTCACCTAAAGCCTAGAGATAACAGACAAAAAGCTATACTTAAAAGAGAAAGTGGTATTAATTCAAATTATATAAATAGAAGAACAATAAAAGTTTAGTCTGTGTACTGACATTGATATATTTCCCTGATCACTACTCTTGTAATTTTCAACCATTACCAACATGCTAATATTGTTTCTTTCAGTGAACTATTGTAATGTGATAACCCGAATACTGAAACCAGGTTTCTTCAAACTGCCCGCACTAATTCTGCTGTTTATAAATTTTGTTTTAGAATCTGTTAGAATTTCTTGGTTGAAAAACACACTCAAATTTCTTCAGCAGTGTATGTTTTCCTTAGTAATATTTTGGAATTATTTATATAATTACAAACTTAAGTCTAATATATTCACAAAGGTTACAAAATGAATCAGTAAACATACATTTTAAAAATCCCCCAAAAGTGTAACATCTTGAGCTCAGTGAACACCACCACATCTTACATTGTTGATGAAGCTCACAAAGGTGATAATGGCTGAAAAGCCAGGCCTTTGGGAACATAAATGTCACAAAAATCACATATTAACATAAAGATAAGAAAATGAACAATAGCGAAGATGTAAGAAAATCGCAGAGACTATTAAGAGCCACACTCAGCAATTTTCAGGTCTGGACCGGGCACAGTTGGAATGGGTGCTGAATTAGGCGTTGGTACTTGTGATAATTAAGCCAGCATGCTTTCCTATTTATGGGGAGTGCTGCACTGCTCTCATCTAGACAGCAAACACAGTGCTGAGGACACAGGAAGTAGCTGCTTCACAGTTGCATTTACCTTGTCCTCTAGAAGGCATAGGTCTGCCTTTGCCTTCCCTCCTGGCCTGGGAAGGCTGTCCACGGCTGGTGTGACCTGCAGTGTCTCCACTGGTGTGACAAAGTGCTAAAGCCCACCTCAGAACTCAGAAAATGGCTGCTTCCTCCACCCTTCAGGCCTAACTTTTGGCACAGTTAATACGAAAACATTATTTGATCCTAGAATGTTTAAGAGAAGCTCAGACTTGGAGGCCATCCAGTAGATGACAACACAGTCATTCCAACTCCTTTGATGTGGGGAACTCTGTCCTCAGGCCAGGCTAGCTTGTTTGCACTGATACCGTGTATTTTAAGCTTTTGTTTTACTTGGAAGAGAATTTAGGACTTCAGTCAAGGCTCTTCGTTTAATGAAAAGTGGTGTTAAATAACAGCTGCTTATCCAACAAATTCTTAGTTTGAGACCCTTTTCACTGGAAATCAGAATTTAACAAAGGCTTGACATTTTACCATTCCGAAAGAAGAGAAAGGGAGCTACAGCTGGGATACAAAGTGAATAAATTGTAATAAATAAAAAATTACAATAAAAAAAAGTGAAATTTTGCAAGAAAAAGTCTTTGAATCAACTCCCATCTTACTAGCTAAATTTTCAGGTGTCCAAAATGTCATATTTACCTACTGTTTTTTAAACCATTGTGGCCTAAGGTTGTGTGCCTGCTGAGTACCATTCTTCTCTGAGTGTAAAGGAATGGAAAGTCAGAGCATGAGGCCTGGCATGTGACCTGTCCCCAGTGGAGAAGCCCAAGGTCCAGGAGGTGAATGTTTGTGGCGTTTGACCTCTTCCCCAGAAAAACAGGAGCCTGGGAGCAAGAAGGCAGAACAGACCCCAGGACAGACCAGGTATAACATAGAAGGTAGGGAAAGGCCAGCACAGCCCAAAGAATTACTGGATAGGAACACTGTAAATATTAATGTCATTACTAAAATTGATTTATAAAATGAAAGAAAATTTATCCAAACAAATTTAAAGCTAATGTTCTGAAATTCCTAAGTTTTCACATTGTGTGGAGAGTTGGAGAAGAACACTATGCTAAGCTTGTTGATTGAGCTCTTTACCTTAATCAAAGCCTAAACATGCCCCCAGACAGAAGGATTACAACTAATAGAACAGCAGTTAACCCTTGAGAATGCCAGGGAAGCAAGAAATAAAAGGAGCTAATAAAAGACAGTCAATCAAGCTGGAAAGGAAACACACGCATCATAAAGCCAGTTGGCCAGTGGCGTGATAAGCATCACAGCCCTCTTGTTAGGCACAGCAGGTTTCACCACAGCAGCAACAGTGGTGTTTTATTCACATGTGTATGTTTTCCAGTACACTGCTTCAGTTAGAGATCTATTGCTGTGCTCTCTGGTTCCGTCCTCGCTCACTCAGTGTCTCGGTCCAGTACTACAATAATAATCTCGTGGGCTCTGCTTTCCTGTAAATCTATCAGCAGTTCTCTGACGGTACGTCTGAGTGTGGTGTACTGACGTTAATAAGTTAATGGTGTGGCAGTCGTGCTACCGTTTTCACTGTCTTCTTAGCCATCGTGGTCCACTTAGGAATTGACGCGCTGCTGTTCTGATGGGGAAAGGTTTTTTTCAAGGCCATGCCGACCACGTACCGCCTGTTCCAGGAGAAAGCCAGCCCTAGGCTGCAAGCACCAACTTCTGGCACTTCAGCAGTACTGTCCACCTGCAGAGAGCGGGACAGAGGATCTCTGCTTCCGGGTCCCACTTCACATTGTCAAATCATCTAGGAAAAAAAAAAAAAAAAGCAGTGGTAAAGTTAACCAACTTTGAGATATTCTGATTGCACGCTAATATTTGTAGTGCCAAAGACCAAACCCAGGGCTTTGCACACGCTAGGCAAGTGTTCCACTGGCTGAGAGGCACTGCCAGTTCTTTGAGAGCTTATTTTTCACTCCTTCATGAAAAATAAGCGGAAGATGTTCTTCAAAACCATTTGTCAAATTTCGAAGGGAAAAACAAATCAGGATTTTATTGTGTAGTTGTTCATCCAGGAGTGCAGTGTTGCTCCAAACTCCTCTGCATCATAAGATGTCAAGATGTGTAAGAATACTGATTTTTTTTTTCATACAGTCACATAACCACTTTTATGTTATGGTTCTAGGTAAATTGTGGAACTTCATGTGTTTTAAAAATGAAGAGAAATTTTTTTTCACTTTGTCTTCTAACTGGTAATACAGAAAAGATACTCGTTTGTGCATTGTGATTTTATACTTTTGTGTAACTGTGCATCTCTTGATGCATTAGAAAACATAACAGTGGATCTAAATAATGGATTTTTGAATCATTTATATGGCTCATGATTCTATATATAATATTCTATTTATATGGCTCATGATTCTATATAAAATGCTGTACAGCATACACAGTATTCTAATCCAAATGTTCTCTGAATAAATTATTAGTAATGCAGACTGCTCTGGCCTTCAAACCAAAGTTGTGGTTTTGCCCTCTGCTTATTAATTTTAACTCTTCTAACCTACCAAAGCAGGTGTCATCTTTTTTTTTTTTTTTTTGTAAGTTTATTTTTTTCTCTCATACAATACATCCAGACCAAAGTTCCCCCACCCTCCACTCTCTTCTCCCCCAGATCCACTTCACTATTTAGGCCTTTCCCCAGCAAACAAACAAAAAGTGCAAACTTTTTGCCACTGATCTAAATGCATATCCACTATGCTGACCAGTGTCAAGAGGCAGGACAGCCTCCCACCCCCAGGACTGGCCTATGGGTTGGTGAGGTGTTCATGCATGTACTCACCAGCGCTGTCACTGGTGCCAGCAACCAGAGTATCGGCAGAGCCCAGCCTCATCCATGTCAGATCAGTAGACACAACTTCTAAGAGGCAACAGCTACAAGGTTCCGCCTTTGAAATGATGGCCAACTGCAGCTAATAATAAACCAGTGCCTTAGGCCAAGGGAAAAGAGTGTGTTATTGGCTGATGAGGCACCCTCCTTCTCAAAGACACATTATAAAATCTTTGGTTTCCCTTGGGAAATTCCTACAAGTTTACAACAGGGCCCCAGAAGCACCATGGCTGTTCTTGGCATCACCATTGCCTTGCTGGTATGGGCGGCCACCCTCCTCATCATATCCATCTGGAAGCAGATCTATAGCAGCTGGAACCTGCCCCCAGGACCCTTCCCAGTTCCTATCCTTGGAAACATTTTCCAGCTGGATTTGAAGGATATCCCCAAGTCTTTCACCAAGGTAAGAGAAATATTGCTGCATTAAGAAAACAAGTTAGAGTTTAGATATGAAATATACATATTAACCTCCGTTAATATGACAACCTCAGTTGTCAGTTGTTATTCAATGGCAGATTATCATGATATTGAATTAACAGGCCAGTCCATCTTGGGCATGGAACACCCACCGTGAGCACTGCCCTGCAGGCCCAGAGCCCCTGTGCAGTTGAAGTGATTGTGAGAGACTGACGTTGCTGGTGTCCTTATGTGACAACTGATACAACAACAGGTGTACCCTGGCTGGTGTCCACCTGTGTCAAACAACAGACTAAAAGGGGAAATGTTGAGCCAACTGTGATTCGCCAAAATAACAGCGTGTGCCTTTTGCCAATGCTCTGAACATTGCATGGGCTAACCAGAACCAAAATGCTACCAGGTGTGAAACTGAGGCTTGGTGCCTGGGTTAAGGGTTGTCTTTGCATGCGGTAGGGTAGCTACAGGCTTCAGGATCGTTGACTCCAAGCTAGCTGGCGATAGCCTGGCTAGTAGAGCCTTAACTTTAGGATCAGACAGAAAGGTGATGAGTGTTAGCATTGATTAAACAGCCACAGAGAAGAGAATTGTGTCTAGATGGAAGGAATGTCCCCTGCAAACCCAGCAACGTCAAGTGGAGAGAGTGTCCCTGCATCCGACAAAACAAAAATGGCCTTTCCCCCAAATCCCTTTAACTCTTGTGGAGAACAGGAACAATAACAGGGAATGAGGGAAGTCTAAAGCAGGCTGACTCCTGTCTACCTCCTGGTCCACTCTGTGAATTGATCCCTGCAGCTGTCAAAGCGCTACGGGCCAGTGTTCACGCTGCATCTGGGCTCAAAGCGAATCGTGGTCCTGCATGGCTACAAGGCTGTCAAGGAGGTGCTATTGAACCACAAGATGGAGTTCGCCGGCCGAGGAGACATTCCTGTGTTCCGAGAGTACAAGGACAAGGGTGAGTTGGCTTCTTGGGCCTTTGGAGGGGGCAAATTAACGGGGAGAGTAATGTGAGTACCATTTGATCCCCCAAATCTTAGTGACAGCAACAGAACGAAGAAAAAAGGCAAAGGCTCAGAAAATGGCTTGCGCCTGCGTGAAAGCTGCTTTTAGACTCGTACTGGGCAGGCACTGTAAACCCAGTGAGACCTCCAGGCCCTGCCCTCCCCAGACCACTGACCAACTTGCAGAGAATGGCAGATGGGCTGTTTCTGGACCCAGGAAGTCTTCCCCAAAGGATTCCTTCTCCGGCCCTTGTGCTTTTCTACATTTCTCTTCCACTCAGCCTCAACTGTCTCTGAGGTGTAGCTGGTTCTACATACTAAGGTCCTTTCACTTACTATGGGGTTCCTAAACCTGCCTGGCACTCTGCTTGCAGGGAAGGACCAGGCTTTAGGTATTTGCTTTCTTCTATTGTAGCTAGTGATCTCCAGAGAGAGAGAGAGCTGTTCTGCCCTGAATCTTGCTCACGTGTTCCCTCCTGCAGAAGGGAAGTTCAGGATGCTAATTTTTCTGTGCTTTCACAGCTCCATCTTCTATTGAGTGTGGGCACCCAGAACCAGGGATACCTTCAGCTCACTGGCGCCACCTTCCTGCCCAGCCTCCACCTTGTCTGTACCTCCTTGCTTCCTCCTTCTCACTCCAGGTATCCCAAACCAGATGAGAGATAAAGTGTCCCATGATTCTGCCTGAGTCAGCACTGGTGCCAAACTTCTACAAAGTTTTTTCCTTTTGTGTAAGATTTTATACCAAAGCTTTCTCAGCTTTATGTCTTACTCTCACTGTCTAGCTTGGCTTCCCAATTTGTGTTTCCAAAACTATTTTACCTCAAGCAGTAACTTTTGATGTTCCTCAATCAGTACTGTGAGTTTCTGTATTGTCTCAGAAAAACAAAAAAAAGAAAGAAAGAAAGAAAGAAAGAAAGAAAGAAAGAAAGAAAGAAAGAAAGAAAGAAAGAAAAAGAAAAGAAATAACAGAAGTAACTATATCAGTCCTTGGCCTTGATATAGGAGTTACTGAAGAGGTACCAAGCAAGGTGGCAAGGATCTGCTGGAAAGGGCACAACCTTTTATGTGTCCTCTAGCTCAGTTCCGGAAATGGGCTGGCGCAATTAGGGTCTGCCTCTCCACAGGCTAGATTCAAGAGGTGTCTGCTGCCCTTGCCTGGGAGCTCCAAAATCCTATTTTTATGTATCCCACACAGCCCAGAGTGGCATGTAAAATCAGCTGAGCCTTAGGTAAGGGGTTGTTATGTGACTGTTTTCTAATATTGTAAGATTAAGCACAGGCGCGGGGCAATGCACCAAGATAACTGCATGAGTCATTTGAGAAAATGTGATTCTCACTTGGACAGCCAACCTAGTGAAAGAGCCCCTTGCTGCAGTGGTAGGCTGTCAGCTCTGCTACTCTCTCAGCCATCAGGTCACTCCTCCAGCCTTCAGGGTAAAACTGAAACATAGGTTATGCCACAGGCATCCCTTTCTGCTTGCAGGCTGGCCATCTCTTGTTCTAGAAAGCTCTTTAGACCATGTGTCCCCTGAAAAGTTCCACATGGTCTTCAGGATGTTTCACCGAGCGTCTCACACGTGGCTAGACTGTCAATGTGGGAGAGATTAAGAGATTCTGAGATGCAAGCACTGCATCCCGTGTAGATATGACTTATCATCCTTGGTCTTAGAATGTTCAGAGCTTAGCAGGTCCTTAGACACAGTAGATACCAAAACGCTACTTATTGAAGAAAAAGTAAGAGAAGGGGTTGGAAGGACTCCTGCAGTGTGGAGAAGCCTGAAGGGCTTTTCGAGGCAAGAGCTAGCCGGGTAAGACTGGGTGGGGCTAGCCCTGGATACCTTGAACTGGCCCCAAGGGGCTCTAAGAGCTCCAAGAGACAACTAATAAGCCGTTAGTCAGGATGACTTAGATTCGGTTTTGAAGAATGAGAAATGCTCACAGAATTAGCTGAGCTAGAGATGGAAGTAAAAAAAAAAAAAAAAAAAGTTTCAGGGTAGTTGATTTCCAATGTATTCATGGGGTCACCAGGCCATGTTCTAGGAAACAACACGTTTTGTTTGGAGGGAAAGTACCCCAAACTTTTCATTGAGAAGAGATAGTGTTCAGTCTTTCCATCTTAATGTACTCAAACTGGGAAGTCCAGTTTGAGATTGATTTGACGTTTAAATCTTGAAACCAGAAAGCCATGAGTTGAAATGCTTGTGTTGTAAAGGTTAAAACCCATGAGCTCAGAAATGCTGCTTAAGAATTTTATGAGTAGGCAGAAAAGGAGGGTCCTGTTTAGAAATAGCCGCCTGCGGTTTACTTAGCATGGTAAAGGTTCAGGGCAAAGTATGAAACCAAAGAAAAGAAGCTGGTGCTAAGAAGCAACAACTGTGAAACACAGCCTGTTCATTTCCTTTTCTTGTGCTTCTTCTACCCAAGACCATTTCCCCCTCCTCCCCTACTTCTCCAAGAATTGGGTACTTGTAAGTAGCCCTGGTTGATCCCTTTTTCTTAGGGATTATTTTCAATAATGGACCCACTTGGAAGGACGTCCGGAGGTTTTCCTTAACCATCCTTCGAGACTATGGAATGGGGAAACAGGGGAATGAGGCCCGAATCCAAAAGGAGGCACGCTTCCTGGTGGAGGAGCTCAAGAAGACCAAGGGTTTGTATCTCCACAGTCGGGAGGAATTGTGGCTGGGCTTCCAAGGACCCTGAACAACCTGGAGGCAGTTGGCAGCAAAATAAACCTTGGGGAAGGGTGAGGTCAAGTTGGTCCCCAGACACTGTCTCCTCCATTTGAGTCCCAACTCTTTCCAGGAGAGCAGAAGTGACTGCCAATTGTGACTGTTAGGCCCTAAATAGCATTAAAAAGTGAAGACAGTCAGAGGCTCAAACACGCACCATGGAAGACTGGATCGGCTGGTGAAGGCCGTGGTGAGGTGCTCACACTCCTCACCTGTTTTCCAGGACAGCCTTTTGACCCCACCTTTCTGATTGGCTGTGCCCCCTGCAATGTCATTGCGGATATCCTCTTCCACAGACGTTTTGATTACAATGACAAGCAGTGTCTGAGGCTCATGAGTATGTTCAATGAGAACTTCTACCTGCTAAGTACTCCCTGGATCCAGGTAAGCAGGCTCTTCCTTTTCCATGGACCTTCAGTTGCACTGTTTACATCAGAAGAAGAAATACTCAGGTTGCGTGAGAGAGACGGGCCTAGAAAAGCAAATTACAGAAACGCTCAGGAGAGCATTTGACTAGGCTGGTTCAGCAGCCTTCTCACTTCAGTACCTGTGTAGACTTGCATACACACATTCCCACCCACACTACCTGAAGAACCATGCCTCCAAAAGACACTGGTGGACCCAATATTCTAAACAGTATGACAAAGACAACCATAAATTCGTTGTTTGCTGGTTCTTGTTACTTATGTGGTTTTCGTTCTCCCTAGCTTTACAATAACTTTTCGGAATATCTACGATACCTACCTGGAAGCCATAGGAAAATAATTAAAAATGTGGCTGAAATAAGACAGTATGCACTTGAGAAAGCCAAGGAAAATCTGCAGTCCCTGGACTCCAACTGCCCCCGCGATGTGACTGACTGTCTGCTCATAGAGATGCAGAAGGTACTGGACAGGATGGGCTTGCTGGATGGGCAGAGTGCATCTGGTTCTCACTTTATGAACCACTCTGGTGTTCACACTGAGCACCTTGGCTGCATTTTGAGGTTCTTGATATTTCAGAAACTTGGCTTCGGCATGATCACCCTGCTCTTCTCTGGTTACTTTTGGAAGGCCGAGGCTTCCTCCAGGCCAAGATGAACTGCAACCCTTTGGGGAATCTGGTATTGCCTGAAACCACTTCAGCAATACTAGATTTTGTGTGTGTGTGTTTATTACCCAAGTTTCCTTGGCTTCCAGAGTTCTAGGCCTTTTTGCCTTTATATTCCCACAGCCTCTAAGCTTTTTCTAGGACTATCTCTTACTTTCTTGCTCTGATGGCATGAAAAAATGTAAAATCCTATGTTGATTTCTTGTAGATGGTTTCCATTTGAGAGTCTTTGCCATCACTTCAGCCTCTCCCTGCCCCGTATCCATAAAACAGAGCCTTGAGCTGGAAAAGAGGCTGAGACTAGTCTGTACAGCTTAAAGGTCATTATCATTATTAAATAACTCTGGCACTACTGACCAAGATGAGACCCAAGTTAAGAAACCCATTCCCATGTCTAGCTTGTTTCCTGGGAGCCTCAGTTTCCCTTATCATGAGGTAGAAAAGGCTGTTTCCTGGTGGTACTAGGAGTCTGGCATAACCTGGTTCCTCTCTGATGAGGAGCAATAAGCATCACCTTCTTACACCTAAAAAAGATCTCACCAGATACCTATCTGTCTCCAACTTCACAGGAAAAACACAGCCAAGAACCCACATACACAATGGAAAATATTTCTGTGACTTTGGCCGACATGTTCTTTGCAGGAACAGAGACCACCAGCACAACTCTGCGATATGGGCTCCTGATTCTCCTGAAATATCCCGAGGTTGAAGGTACATGAATCAGAAGCCAAACTCCCATGTGGTACAACTGAGCCCTGTCAGGGTCACCCTGTGCAGTTCAGGCTGTTGTTCTGTGGCCAATCGCTTGCCTTCAGTGTCCCAGCATCACTCAATGAGCTTTAAGAGTACATGACCTTGCATGCGCCAGGGCCTAATATGCTGAAGACTGGCTCTCCCCCCACACCCCACTGGGAGGCTTATGGCCCTGTGCTGAAATGGAGAGGGGAATGAGTCTGTGCTCTGCTCCACAAATAATTTAGAATGGAGAAAGTTTCCCCTGAGAAAGGCTTTTTGGATTTACAGGGAAAGGGCTCAGGCTGGAGTCATCCTGGAGCATCTCAAGTCAGGGGACTCGGAAGTGGAAATTGAAAGAGAAGCAATCAAGGCTATCCTAAATCCACTTCACTTTCTCCTCAAGGCTTTGGGGCAGAAAGAATTCTGTGCCTGAAGCAGGCACAAGGGACTGATATGCAGAGGGTCGTACATACATTTTCCAGACAGAGGCAGTGTGATGATCCTCCATGTAAGCCAATAGGCCTCGCCTTTAGTAGAAGAATTGAGGGGGCTGACAACCTAAGAAAAAGGTACTCAAAGGCATTAAACCCTGCTATCCTATGAGCGGGGCATAGATCTGGGCAGCCACTACATAAAAAGCAATGTTTCCTAAGAACATGGTTGTGTGTCTGTCTGGTCCAGGGCCAAGATTTGAGCTCTAGCCTTTCTGTCAACAATGCCTCTGACTTTTCATATCACACAGGAAAATGAAAATGGAAAGTGACTAAAGTCCAAAGAAGAAAATGTACAAATTACAGTAGTTATAACTTTTATTACTATACTAAGGAAACATACACCTTAACGTTTTTAATTATTAATATAATTAATTTCTAATATAGACAAAGAGAAAGTAAATATGGCAGGCACCTATACATCCATTACCACATTAAACCTCTATTGACATTCTGTGGTTTGCTTCGGAGCTCTTAAACAATAAAACATTCTATGGCTAGCTAGAGCCCACTAACTCACACGTGTCTGCCTCACCTCCCAGATATGGCAATGCTTTAGGACCACTGTGTAACACTCCCGTGTGATTTGGATATCTAACATTAACTACATATCAACACATAACTCATATGTTGTGCATGCCTTACTATTATACCATACTATACACCTCCGAACGGAGCTTGCTTTATTCACTTCATATATTATAAAGTCCCGTAGTAAATCCCAAACACAGAAAGACCAAGGAACTTGACAAAGGCTACTGTTGCCTCTGTCATGATCACAGAGACTTTCAGATTTCAAGACCTATATTCTAGTCTGTCAATCTCTTCCTATTTTTAACAATAATAAACCAGCTTAGGGTGATAATGCAAAGATTTCTCTTTAAGAAGACATTTGCAAGGCCCTTTTATCTCTACTCCTGATATGAAGAGAATTGGGAAAACTATCACCAGCTATGACAATGGATGCCCGAACTTCCTATCAACTGTGAATAATCTCACAAATCTTAGCTCCCATTGACTTTTGTGTGCAATTCAAAGTACATGGGGATTATAAATGACATTTAAGGTGCTTCATAAAACATACAATGGGTGGCTTGGCAGATGGATGAAAGAATAATTAGATAGATGTGTGGGAGGAGAGAGTTATTGGGGATCCTTGAACGATTGGATGAGTGGGTAAATGAGTAGCTTAGAGTGTGGAGACATGGGTAAATGAATAGGTAGGCGGATGGAAAGCGGGTAGGTTAAATGGGCAGCTAGGTGAGCAGGTAGATGGAAGTGGTTCTGTATCCATACGGGTGATGGAAGGTAGACATCAATTCTAAAACTAACACTTTAAATTCATCTCATTCGTATCTTGGCAGAGAAACTTCATGAAGAAATTGACAGGGTTCTCGGGCCAACCCGTGCCCCTGCTTTCGGAGACAGAATGGAGATGCCCTACATGGATGCCGTGGTGCATGAGATTCAGAGATTCATCAGTCTTGTCCCTTCCAACTTGCCCCATGAAGCCACCCAAGATTCTGTGTTCCAAGGATATGTCATCCCCAAGGTCAGGCATGAGCTGGAGAGCTCTCCATGTGCTTGGTCCTGTTAGTCTACTACCTAGGTTGCCCTTCAGGATAGGGACGCAAGAGCACCTTTGACCAGCCTATATGGCTGGATGTGGGAATACGCCAGCATTCATTCATGCCCTACAGAACACTTCATACAATCACCCCAAAACCTCATAACCAAAAAAGTGGGAATCATGGAAAATATCTCAGCTTGTTCAGAGGAGTTGTGGACATTCTAACTCTGAGATCCATGGCAGCAGCAACCCAGCCTGGGACCCATTCTATGAAAGATATAGGGTCTTCCTCTTCCTTTAGACCTGATCCCTGGCTCTTTTTTATATAGTCCTTAAATGAACAACCCTGCAAATTAAAAACATGCTATCCTACAGAATATAAAATTCCAGCAGCCCTCATCACTGGTGTTCCAGATGAAAGCCTGTGTTTTGTTAACTTGACTGATAAAACTTCTACTTCTTCCAGGGTACAGTTGTGATTCCAACTCTGGACTCCCTTTTATATGACAGCCAAGAGTTTCCAGATCCAGAGAAGTTTAAACCTGAGCATTTTCTGGATGAAAATGGAAAGTTCAAGTACAGTGACTATTTCAAGCCATTTTCTGCAGGTAAGCAGAGTTCATAGGTCATGCCTTCCCTGGGAAATTGTCTTCTTCAATCCTATGCTTAGCTCCATGTGCTCTCCCCATACTAAATGAGGACTACCATCCCAATTCCATCATGCTCTTGTAACATATAACCCAAGTACATTCCTCCCATTTCAGAGAAGTCAAATATTTCACCAGGAGTTCTAGAAATGTGTTCCGGGTAGATTATTTTATCATAGAGTGGACATTTTTCTAATTGTTCATCTGTTGCTACTCTAACAAGACTCAGTTAAAAAGCTCTCAAAACTGTATTACCTAATTCTTCATAAGTGTCAACAAAAATTACTAAACTCTATTCTTTAGTTTCTTGGACTCTTCCTAAGATTCTGGACCTTCCCATCCAAGGCCTCACCTAGGGTTCCAGTAAAGGATGATCCCACAGCTGGTTTGATCATTTTAACAGCCTATGTTTGCATGGGCTTCACCTGTCCCACCTTCCTGAAATGATGGCAGAAAAGCTTTGGGCCCATTTCCTTAAACTACCACTTGTTCGTGCATCAGGTCTGGATGAGTGGTGTAGCTGGTCCCTGAATGAGCCAATATCACTGACATTTTTGTTCTCTAACATATGACCACTCAGGTTCAGGGACCAATGAGCAGGACAGTGAATCCTACTTTCAGGTGGTGTGCCTGAAGCCTCCTTCCACACTCCCAATCCCTTAATGGTAGAAGTGTTAGCTCTGTGAAGATCCCTCAGTACCTGATCAGCACTGTTCTTACTTCTAGGAAAGCGTGTGTGTGTTGGAGAAGGCCTGGCCCGCATGGAGTTGTTTCTGCTCTTGTCTGTTATTCTGCAGCATTTTAATCTGAAGTCTCTGGTTGACCCTAAGGATATAGACCTCAGTCCTGTCACAGTTGGCTTTGGCAGCATCCCACCCCAATATAAACTCTGTGTTATTCCCCGCTCATGAGACCTGGAAACTGCCTGAGATGGCTACGCACTATCATCCCTTGTGTTGTTTTTTTAATCCAAGTATATAGAGTTATCATAAAATGGAACAGAAAGGAATAAATAAAATCTTGATGAATTATATGTTAGTTGTGGATTTAATGTTGAGAGCCTTGTTCCCTTGACTGTGTAAAAGTTCCCCAGTGAGTGAATGCTATTTCATAGCCAGTAGCATAACATCTTCCAATTTGTCTGTCCCTGACTTAAGAATTTGTTTGAAAAAAAAAAAATTTGTTTGAATATGCGTGAATGATCCTGGTTATCTGCCCATCTCAAGACCCTGAATTTAATGATATATTCAAAGTTCTCTTACAATATAGAGTAATATATTCATACATTCTTGGGATTATAATGTGAACAGCTTTATGCTGACCCTACTTTCCACCTCTCTACCTTAGGGCACTACTGAAACCCAAAGTTAACAGATAACACAACAGTGGGCCCATTGACATTGCTTGGATCATCATGACTCTATGATGGCAAGAGTGCTTCCAGGAAAAATGTGTAATTTTAAAATTTGCTTCAGGGCAGAGAGGTTTCAATTTAAGAGATTACCATTATGGAAATTCTGAAGTGACAGGGAGAGATAGAACATGTGTAGCTCTAAGGGCCGTTAAATAATTGTAGCAGCATCTGGCCACTAGGTCAAGAGAGTCACTAACTATATTCATTCAGTGGTAAAGCCTGAGACGGCTCAAGTCTGGTTGTCTTCTGAGGAAGTAGCATTAACTTTACATGTACAGTTGCAAACCAAGCATGGTGGCATACATCTTTAATCCCAGCACTCAGGAGGCAGAGGCAGGCAGAACTCTGCGAGTTTGAGGTAGGCATGATCTACACAGCGAATTCCAAACCTGCCAGGACTACACAAAGAGGCTCTGTCTCAAAACAGAAACAAATAAAACAGGAGTACAGTTCTTTAGGAGAATTAGTCTGGCCTTTAAAAAATTACTTTTGCTCTTTAGTGTACATATTTCTTCCACACTTGGCATGTCCATGCCCATCTTAAAAATACAGTAATTGTGATAACCTATAGGAAACTTTGTTCCTGAATCATGGTAATGAATAAGCTACACAGCAGATATCAAGGTCTATGAGAATAGGGCTGTTAGCATTCACTTTGGCATGGGAGGAAAGTATCAAAAGACCTTCAGGAGACCCACAGATCCTCTTCTGGGATTCCACTCAATTCCCAAATGTTACATTCTAGCAGATGTTTAAAAAAAAAAAAAAAACTGGTCAGGCACAGTGCCGCACACCTGTAATCCCAGCACTCAAGAAGGCAGAGGCAGGCAGATCTCTATGAATTGGAGGTCCTGGTCTACTAAGTGAGTCCAGGACAGCCAAGGCTACACACAGAGAAACCCTGTGTCAAAAAACTGACTGAGGCAAGACTTAAAATGGAATAGCTGCCTCTGGACTATGCTTGCTCTTGTCAATCACCCTGCTAACTCATTTATTCATGGAGTTGAATTTGACTAAATCTTTCCTTTTGTCTCCTTCCATATTTGGGCTGAATATACATTCATTTCCATCTTACCAGAAAACCCACAAAACAAATGGTAACCAAACAAGGACCCATTGGAACTAAAGATGAGTGGGGAAGGTCTACAATTTATGTCCTCCCCAAACAAAAGAACATTTTTAGTTTAGGATGTTCCTTGCAACAGTTTAGGATTGCTTATGAACACTGTAGACCACACACAGACTCAAATTTCATTTATTTGCTTAAAGAATGAGGTGGATGATAACATGCATTAAGAGTGGATGATGTATCTTCCTTTTGTTTCGAAGTCTATGCTATCTGGGCCTACATGAAAGAATTAAACTACTGGGTAGCTTCACAGAGGCTGGGAGAAAGTCCAGATCTGTACCCTCTGTCCAAGATCAGAAGAGTGTGTCAGATACTCATGGTGAGCAACAGACAGGAAAAGCATTTACTTAGGGCCTACAGTGTGGACCTATGTAGCCAGTAGAGATTCAAAACTGAGCCAAGACATCTCCAAGTTCAAATACTTGAGAGGGTTGGCCCATCACCTTCTTCTACTCAGCACATACTCTGATGAAGCAAGTTCTACAAAAAAGCTCCTTTATTTCAAACAGCCTCATGTGATGTTGAGGTTAGTATTCCTCCAGGCTGAGGAGGGCATCAGGTCCTGCTTGGTGGGTGCTCTTGGACTTTCTCCTCATGGACTCCTAAGGGCTTGGGACTGGCCTGTAGAAGGTAAAGGCCCAGGCATTTTTCCATGCTCATACCACCCCCTTCCACTTTTCTATGCCCATGCTACCATGTGTTTACACCTTTGCCTTAGCTGTGCCTCCTGTAGTAGGAATGCCCTTTTCCACAGACTACACTCTGGAGACTTCCACTATTCTCCTTTCCCTTCTGCCCCAAGATTTACCATCCTCTGTAAGCTGTCTCCTTCATCTTGCATATTCTGAACTTGAGAAAGGATCTGTAACCCATGCTTTTCCACTTCTTCTTTCAGCCTGTTAAGGAAGAGTGGACAAGGAGAATGGACACAGGAAAACTGAGAAAGTATGAAGAGACGTATAGGCGGAATAGGGACAATAGCTGTCATTCATCTTCCTGGGAAGGGGCTCCGTGCTTACATCTGCCGTTTCTGCTGTAGCTCTTGGCACCTCTCCTGCAGCTGCTGGTGGTGCTGAGCTGCAGCCTCGAGGAGCTCCTCAGCTTTCTGGTTCTCCTCCCTGAACATCTGCCTGGAGGTGGGGAAAGAAGTCAGCCCTGGGCATGCTACCTCGAAGCTTTCTTCCTCCTTCCCCACCCTCCATCTCACATTGCTGCAGCTGCCTCGTGGCTTCGGAGGAAGAGCCCATCAGCAAAGCTGGAAGACTCCTCAGGCCCACACACAGCAAACAGCCGATGTTTCACATCCTCCAGCTTTAACTCGATCAGTTTCTCTACAGAGAGAAAATGTAATGAGCACGTGAGGGCAGGATGGTGCACGTGAGGGCCACCCTTCTGCCCTGATCTCACCTTCCTTGAGCAGCTGCTCCTTGCTGCTGTCCAAATCATCCGTCTCCTTTGCCAAGTGTTCAGGCTTCTGAGGGGTAGCACAAAAAGGAGACCTGTCCAGATCCCCTGGCCTCCTCGTGTTTCAGAGAAGCCTGTATAGACTTAGTCATTATCCCCTCAGTAAGTTTCACTGCCTAGTGCCCCGGCCCCCAATGCATGCCAGCCATGGCATAACCTCAGGGGAACTGACCTCGTTATTCCCTCTTCTTGGACCCTTTAACCCTAAAAACAGTTTCAAGGGGAAGTATTTGAAGCCCTAAAATCTGCAAATCTACAGTCCTGAGCCACTCTCTGAGGATTTAGCTACTAGCGTTTCTTCCTCTCTTTTCTTCTGACATTCAACTAATTTCCCTACCGGCTGTCTGGGAACTCCCAGGGGTAAATGTCAACTGTTTGTCCTGTGATATCTCTACTGTATCTGGGATCATCTCATACACATCCATGGATATGCTCAGTGGATGACTCCATTTGGTGTTCTCATGGCACCACCAGAACACTGAATGGACACGGCAACACAAGTGAATGTGAAACACCAACCGTGAGGACACCAAGGGTGGTCACAGGGGCTGGCTTAGGGTGACAGACAGCAGGACCACCAAGGCTTGCATAGAGACAAAGCATGGTAAGTGGCACAGCTTTGTATGACTCACATGAAATTCCAAGAGGTCCTTATGTTGGCTCATCAAAGTCTCCAGCTGTTCTTCAAAATCCAACCTAGAAGCCAACCACAGGCCATGAGCTGCCACGAAGCTTGGCCCAGGCCTGAGTCTGTATAGCACTCAGGGACTTTGTGCATGCCCGCTGTTCCACAAGGAACACCTTTGTCCCCTTTACTAAACCTGGCCAGCTCCTCTGGTTCATCCATGGCATTACTGTACCTAGAGCGCATCCCCATGCCTTATGCCTTGAGGTTTACCTCAGTCGTCTTAGTTTGTCCTTTTCATTGTCGATCTGAGAGTTCAGGAAAGAAATCCTGTCTTTACATTCCTGCAACATGCTGTGCTTCCTGGGAAAGAAATCAACACTCAGCTGTGTTCTCTGAATGACACTCCTGGAGGGAGAGTTGGAAGCGTCTGTTCTGTTCTTCTGTATTCAGGTCTGTGTCTAACACAGCAGGTGATATGGGAGGTAGCAGGAACACTAGGGAGGCCTTTGCAGGCCTGGTATCTTACCTCTCTGCCTCACTTTCCTTCTCCTGGCAGTGCAGCCGCATAATCCTCAGGGTTTCTGTAAGGGTAACAACAGGGCCCTCTGGATGCTTGTTAAGGCAGCTAATTTGGCAGATGAAACAAAACAGATCACATCAAGTCTCTGAACACCTGAGGGGACTCTGACATTTTTCCGGTCTGGTAAAAGTCATAGGAAGTTCACAAGGTCAGGTTCTAGTTACTAGAGAGAGTGGGCTTAGGCAGGGTACCACAAAGACTGGAAATGGAGAATATGGGAATACCTTGCTTTTTGTTCAAGATATCCTTCAGACGCTCCTTCTCTTCATGTACTAGAAAGCATAATGAAGGTTCAAGCATTAGGGACCAATCACAGAAATGCCAAGGACAGTCATGTGAGAGGCAAGGTATAGCTGTTATCATAACTCAGTTTCCCAGCCCTTTGGTACCCACACTCCTGTAAACACAATGTGCCCTAACTTTCACAGAAGATGTATGTGAGGACCACGTGTGATAGCCATTAGGACTGGGAAGAACAACATCAATCAAAAGGGCTACGTGATCAGGTAATGGAAGATGATTAAGACCTTTCCAGTAATGCAGAACTAGTGATGGGAGGCAGGAACTTGTGTTATCTGAGGTAATAAATACATGGAGAATCATCCCTACAAACAACTCAAGGCAGAAATGTCCTCAACGGCATTCCCAGAACTCTCCTATTAGAAGATGGGAACGCTGGAAGAACATGAGGTTGGAGAAGAGAAGAATCTGTGTCCTGGTGATGATATCAAGTGCCTGCATTAGGAGAAGCCTAAGACATTATGGAAACCTCTAGCTACTCTCAGTTAACTTACATGAGTCCAGTTCCTTCTGCAGGGTATCCCAGACAGTCTGGGCCTCTCCGAGCTCCTCACCAGCTTTCTTTTTTGCTTAACAAAAAGGAGGACAAACATTTAGTAAGTACAGCCTCAAGCATAAACAAGATTTCATATTCATCAAGAAAACCTAAAGGGGCCCCGATTTTACAAAGCAGGAAACAAGACTTTCTAAATCCTGGCCCTTCTTGCTGGGCTCAGGTGGCAGCAAGGTCCATGTTCACAGGCAAATGGCTACAGCATTACATGCAAAGGAGCCCTTCACTTACGCTTTCATGAAGTAACTATAGATACTTTAACAAGAACTCCTGTATTTCTACTTTTTACTGTGCCTGGCCTGGAAGCAGCCAATCACTGAGCTTACCTTGTTGAACCTCATTAATGCGGTTGATCAGGACCTCAATCCGGGGCTCTAGACTTCCTACTGCAAGGCAAAAAGGAAACTCATTGTAGAAAGTATGCCTGCCTGAAATTCTGCAGCTTTCACTTAACAAAAATCTCCTAAGCATCTCATAAGTATAGGTGCTACATTACAGTCTCAAAGTTGGAGTATGGGGACAAAAAACAGACCAATAGAGATACTGGATCAGGCTGTAGAAACTCCGGTCAAGAGAAATGAAGCAAGGGGAAAAGTCTAAAGGTAAAGGTCAGGAAGTGCTTCTCAGATATAGAAAAGTATCTTGTGAGCCTTATATCAATGATGAAAGGAAGGCCCTCAAGCCCTCCGGGTAAAGTGGAGGGTGCAAAGTGCAGAGGCCTACACTGAGGAGGAAATGAAAATGAAATAGGATAATATGATAAACAAACAGAAGGTGGCAGGATGTGAGGTGGAAAGGGTTACTGGTAAAACCTCTGGTTCTAACAGAGTGCTGTGGAGTCAAGGGGGATTGAGACACAGTTTGGGGAAAACATTTTGCCTTCTACTCACTCTCATGCCTCTATACTGTTGAATCATCAGGGCTCCCTTTTTAGTTCAAAAACTAAGATTTTTTTAAATATTTATGTATTTATTATATATACAATGTATGCCTGCAGGCCAGAAAAGGGCACCAGATCTAATTATGGATGATTGTGAGCCATCATGTGGTTGCTGGGAATTGAACTCAGGACCTCTGGAAGAGCAGACAGTGCTCTTAACCTTTGAGCCATCTCTCCAGCCCTCAAAAACTAAAATTTAAGGGGCTGGTGAGATGGTGCATTGGGTAAAGGCACTTGCCACCAAGCCTGACAAATCTCTCCAAAAGCGGCTAGTGCTCTTCACTGTTGGGCTATCTCTCTACACACCTCCAAATTTCAGCATTAAAGAAAGTTACTGTGGATAAAATAACTTATCTTTGTGAACTGTGGTGCTTGGAATCTAATCTACATTTGCCTGACTTCAAACCTCGGGGTAAGCCCCATAGGCAAAAAAGACACATGACCTTTCTGCAACCTTTTCACCATTTCCATTAAGTCTTCAATTTTCTCTGTGGACATGTGCTGCCCTGTGGAGAAAACAAACAAACAATTCAAACTTAGCAGTATAAGTGGCCAGGAAAAGGATACAATACCTAGGCTGATACTGAGATTAGCTGAGGACAGATCTCTAACCAGAACAGTGTTACTGATCCTTGTCCCAAATGAATAGAACAAAAAAGACAACTGTGGCCCTTTATGGCTAGCCTTTTCCTCCAGGGTACAATAGCACCACACATATCCTTGCAAAATGAGGGCAGTGCTACACTTAGTCCAATTGTGCTGCTAATATTGTTAGAGCTGGGTCAAGTTAACAAGGTAAAGTATGAGACAGGAGGGTACTAGGTGTGGTGGTAGAGATCTGTAATCTTAGAAATTAGAGAAAGAGGCAGAAAGATCAACAGTCTGAGTACATCACAAGGTCAAGTCCACCTTGAGCTACATAGAAATCCTGTCTCAAAAAAGCAAATTAGGGATGTGATTCAATGGCAGCAGGCTCGCTTTGCATATGCAAGGCCTGAGTTTAGTCACCCCTGGGGAGGAGAGGATGTTGCTAAAAAAACTAGAAAATAGCTGAAAAATCACTGTAATGGGCTGATGGCATTATCAATTAGAAAGCTCCAGAAAGTCTTACACAAAACACATTGACTATAAACAAAATATATTATAGTAAGTATTTAAAAATGGCAAATTTTATCAGCTGTAGGAATTCCCTGGTAAAATTTTTGGGGTCACTCATGTATTCTATCATATCATCTGTAAATAGTGATACTTTGACTACTTCCTTTCCAAACTGAATCCCCTTGATCTCCTCTAATTGTCTTATTGCTCTAGCAAGGACTTCAAGCACTATGCTGAAGAGATATGGAGAGAGTGGGAAGCCTTGCCTTCTCCTTGATTTCAGTGGGATTGATTTAAGTTTCTTTCTGTTTAGTTTGATGTTGGCTATAGGCTTGCTGTATATTGCCTTTACTATGTTTAGGTAAGTCCTTGTATCCCTGATATCTCCAGGACTTTAAACATAAACAAATGTTGGATTTTATCAAATGCTTTTTCAGTATCTAAGGAGATTATGTGCTTTTTTTTCTTTCAGTTTGTTTACATGGTGGATTACATTGATGGATTTCCATATATTGAACCACCCCTGCACACCTGGGATGAAGCCTACTTGGTCACAGTCGATGATATCTGCTGATAAACCTTCAGCAAAGTGGCTGGATACTAAATTAACAAAAAAAAAAAAAAAAAAAAAAATCAGTAGCCCTCCTGTATACACAATACAAATGGGCTGAGAAAGAAATTCAGGGAAACAATACCCTTCACAATATCCACAAAGGACATAAAGTACCTTTGTGTAACTCTAACCAATCAAGTCAAAGATTTGTATGGAAAAAAAAAAAAAAACTTCCAGTCTCTGAAGAAATAAAAGATATCAGAAGATGGAAAGATCTCCCATGCTCATTGGTTGGAAGGATTAACATAGTAAAAATGGCCATCTTACCAAAAGCAATCTACAGATTCAATGCAATTCCCATCAAACTACCAACACAATTCTTTACAGACCTTGAAAGAAAAATTCTCAACTTCATATGGAATAACAAGAAGCCCAGAATCGCTAAAACAATCCTCTACAATAAAAGATCTTCTGGAGGTATCACCATCTCTGATCTCAAGCTGTACTATAGAGCAACAGTAATAAAAACTGCACGGTACTAGCATAGAAACAGGGTGGTGAATCAATAGAATACAATAGAAGACCCAGAAATAAATGCACACATTTATGAACACCTGATTTTTGACAAAGAAGCCAAAACCATACAATGGAAAAAAGATAGCATCTTTAACAAATGGTGCTGATCTAACTGAATATCTACATGTAGAAAAATGCAAACAGATCCATACTTATCACCCTGTACAAAACTAAAGTCCAAGTGGATCAAAGACCCAACATAAAACCAGACACACTAAACCTGTTAGGAAAAAAACGTGGAGAAGACCCTTGAACTCATTGGCACAGGAGACAACTTCCTAAACAGAACACCAACAGCACAAGAGCAACAATCAATAAATGGGACTTCATGAAACTGAAAATCTTCTGTAAAGCAAAGGACACTGTTGTCAGAACAAAATGACAGCCTACAGACTGGGAAAGGATCTTCACCAACCCTATATCTGACAGAGGGCTAATATCCAGAACTCAAGAAGTTAAACAACAACAAATCAAGTAATCTAATTTAAAAATGGGGCACAGAGCTAAACAGAGAATTCTCAATAGAGGAATAACTAATGCCAGAGAAACACTTAAAGAAATGCTCAGCATCCTTCATCATCAGGGAGATACAAATTAAAACGATTCTGAGATTACATCTTACACCCATCAGAATGGCTAAGATCAAAAACTCAAGTGACAATACATGCTAGAGAGGATGTGGAGAAAGGGGAACCCTCCTCCACTGCTGATGGGAATGTAAACTTGTACAACCACTTTGGAAATTAATCTGGTGCTTTCTCAATTAGGGATAGTGCTATCTGAAGATCCAGCTATACTGCTCCTAGGCATATATCCAAAATATGCTCAAGTACACAACAAGGACATTTGCTCAACCATGTTCATAGCAGCTTTGTTATAGCCAGAATCTGGAAACAACCAAGATGTCCCTCAATTGAGGAATAGATACAGAAATTGTGGTACATTTACACAAGGGAATACTACTCAGCAATTAAAAACAAGGAAATCATGAAATTTGCACGGAAATGATGGGAACTAGAAAAGATCATCCTGAGTGAGGTATCCCAGAAGCAGAAAGATACACATTTTACATACTCACTTATAAGTGGATATAATATAGGACAGACATATAATATAGGATAATCATACTAAAGAAGCTAAACAAGAAGGAGGACCCTGGGTAAGAATGCTCAATCCTCATTCAGAAAGGCAAATGGGATAGACATCATAAAAGAGTTAAAACAAGGAACAAGACAGGAGCCTACCACGGAGGGCCTCTGAAAGACTCTACCCAACAGGGTATTAAAGCAGATGCTGAGACTCATAGCCAAACTTTGGGCAGAGTGCAGGGAATCTTATGAAAGAAGGGGGAGATAGAAAAAACTTGGAGGGGCCTGGAGCTCCACAAAGAGAGCAAAAGGACCAAAAAATCTGGGCCCAGGAGTCTTTTCTGAGACTGATACTCCAACCAAGGACCATTCATGGAGATAACCTAGAACTCCTGCACAGATGTAACCCATGGTAGCTCAGTATCCAAGTGGGCATCCTAGTAAGGGGAACAGGGGCTGTCTCTGACATTAACTCAGTGGCTGGCTCTTTGATCACTTCCCTCTGAGGGGGGAGAGCAGCCTTACCAGGCCACAGAGGAAGAAAATGCAGCCAGTCCTGATGAGACCTGATAGACTAGGGTCAGGTGGAAGGGGAGGAAGGGGCATGGAAAAAGAAGAGGGAGGAAGGGATTGGGAGGGGATGAGGGTGGGGCTACAGCTGGGATACAAACTGAATAAACTATAATAAATTAAAAAAAATTGTTTTCAAAATAGCAAATGTTTAAAATCAACTAGATACTTGCTGAAATAAAGGAATTTTTGGCACTGTTATATAGCTGTGACAAGTTTTCTTTTAGAGTAACTGACAAAACACACAGTCAAATAGCTTTACTATATATACTTGATACTGATTATAAAACTTCCACATAAGGTAGCAATTTGTATTAATTTTTATAGTCACTATATACACCTATTTTTAATTCTCTGGTGGATTAGATATTGGAAATCACTTCTACCACACACTGTAAAGGAACCAGACATGAATCACCTAGTTTTTTAAAAGTCACCTATTAACAACTCTTGTCAAAAGATGCTAATACTTATTAAGTAATGCTCAAGTTCTAAGAAACAATTCAGGGATTGAGGCGCGCAGTAAATAGCACTTAAGGGTACTTGTGGCGCCATCCAGATTGGGAAACTACACAGAGAATTTTTTTTGGGTCAAGGGTGAAGGGGAAGGAAGGAAGACTCCTGAGGAATGATAGAGTCTTAAGAGATACATCAATTTAATCTCAAAAAAAGTCTGTAAGTAAATTTCGATGCAAATTTTAAATGCATTATAAAAACTACTAAAAGAAAATAGCAAATTTTTAAAATCAACTAGATACTTGCTGAGATAAAGGAACTGTTGGCGTTGCTATATAGCTGTGGCGACAGTTATTTTCTGGAGTATTTGTCTTCTAGATCCATACATGAGACATGTATGGATGACACTGGTCTGAGGTGCTCTGTTATAAAACAGGGGACTGCATGATAGGGGGAAAAAAATAGACGAACAGTCATAAACATCAAAGCTGGGCAGTAGAGTCACGGCCTAAGTCCATCCTGTTCTCTGCCTTTGTATAAACTTGAGTTTATCACAATAAAAATGTCGTTTTACCACCCCGAAAGACAGAAGCTAAAGACTCGCTTGTGCAGCCAAGTTCCGAGAACGGTAATTTGGGCCAGATGCGGTCCCATCATCCTCATCGCGTTAACATGGCGTCGAGCCCTGAACAGGGAAGGGCGGCTCCAGCTCAGGCGGGGCCTGAAGGTGACAGGCGTGTGCCCTCCAACAACCCCACGCTAGGCCTGGCACCCCGGGAGGCTGGCTCGGAGGCCTCGTCAGCGGGGATCCCGGCCAACGTCCAGCGCCCCGGCTCACGCCCACCCACCGATCCTCGACGCCAGGCGGCCCTCTCAACGCCCCAGCTCGCCAGGCCAACCCAGGGGCCCTTCAGCCACTACCTCCGGCCCCCTCAGGACCGCGGAACGGCTCTGCTGATCCCTCCGGCTCCACACCCAACGGCTGCGGTCTGGTAGCCATACCGCAACACTTCCTCGGGTACCACAGCCACTGAGAGGGTGTTGCTACAGACTGCGCCTGCGCAGTAAGCTGCAGCCTGCACTAGGGACCACGTGGCCACCTGTTGCGCACGCGCACACTTGAAGCTTCCCCCACCCATACACACACACGGAACAAAAACCCTATTTAAACGTGATAAACGGAATAAAGACTTCCGAGCAGTGACTGGCCAGTTTCAGAGGCGAGTGAACAAGCGTGAAGGCCTCACCCTCTACAGAGGTTTGGGTTATAGTTGTTAGGGATAGAATTATGGTTGTCAGAGTTAGGATTCGGGCTCAAACGTAGAAAATTTGTAATCTTGGACAGAACAGTGGTATTGATCAGACCCATGATGGCTGCTGAAAAGAACCCGAAGGACCTGCGGTGGACATGGTAAACAGCCCAGTTCCCAAGAGACTATTCACCACCACTACAAAAAAAAAAAAGCCTGCTGTCTCCCTCCGTGTTATGCCTTAGCCATCTGACAAGACATAGTCCAGGTCTGAGCTCTTCTGGCACATTCCACACTGACCTTGGGGGCTGGGGAGTGGGAACTACTCTCACCTTGCTCATCTCTGGTAGTCTCTGTGGCCCAGCTACAGACCTTATACCAGAATAACCCAACAGTCCATGTGTCTGGGAGTTTGCTGGCCCCAGTCCCAGTCAAAGGTCTCAAAATATCTGCCCTGGAACACACTGGGCTCTCAGGGTTCTTAACCCAAGGAGCCGGAGGTGGGGTGAACTACCCTGAACAGCTAAGCAAGGCTCACTGGATCCCACACAGCAGCCCTCTAGATATGCGAGTGAACACCTGGCTCCCAGATTGTTCCTGATAACTTGTAGAGATGCACTGTGTTATATACACTCTGTTAATAAAGAACCCAGCATGAGACAGCCATAGGAAAATAAACAACATAATAACTTAAGAATTATTTACTTTGTTTTATTGAGGACCAAGTCTGGCATATATATTATATAACATATATAATATATATTAGCTATGTATATATATGACTATATGTAATATATAGTATTTAGTATATATAAATATATATATGGAAGCTTTTCTAAAACAGATCACACCCTGGGACACAAAATAAATCTTTACAAATGTATCCTATCAGACCACAATGTAATAAAACTTAAAACAGACAGAAAACTTTTATGCATACATGTATATAATGCCTGTTGATACCTTATGCGGGTCATAAATTTTTTCATGATTAGAAATGGGAAAACATAATAACTACATGTTTGTATATTTTTTAATTTATTTATTCTTTTATAAATTACAGTTTATTCACTTTGTATCCCAGACGTGGCCCCTTCCTCATCCCCACTCAATCCCACCCCCTCCCTCATCTCCTCCCATCCCCTCCCCAAGTCCACTGATAGGGGCCGTTCTCTTCCCCTTCCCTCTGACCCTAACCTATCAGGTCTCATCAGGACAGGCTGCATTGATGTTTGTCTATTTTAAAGTATAGCAAATAGACATATACTTCTTTCCTACTTGGAATGGCTAATCTTCATTGTCAACTTGATTGGTTTAAGAATTACCATAGAAACACATTCCTGGTTATAGCTCTTAGTGAGAGTTAGCTGAAAAGAGACTTTACCCGAACGCGGGCAGCACCATTGGTAGTGAGGTCCTGGACTGACCGAAAAGAAAAGGAGCTGAGCACAAGTATTCAGCATTCTTTGCTTCCTGACCCTGGAAGCTACCTGACAACAGTGTCCCGCTTCCGCCAACATTCCGCCAGCACTGATGAACTATATATCTTTGAACTTTAAACCAAAATGAAGTCTTCAGTCCTTAAATAACTTCTTGACAGGCATTTTTGTATTTTAGAAAAGAAACTAACGCACTGTGGGTCTCTTAGTGGGCCTGATTTACAAATTGGCCTTTCTTACGGCTGTTTGTAGGTTTTAAGGTATCTGCAAGTAATAAATTTGTACATTATTTTTAGAGGGTTTTTTGGTAGAATTTTTGGGATTGCTAATACATAGTATCTTGTTATCTGCAAATATGGATAGTTTAATTTTTCCCCTATTTGTATCCCTTTAGTTTCCTTCTCTTGCCTTATTGCTTCAGCTAGTACTTCAAGCACAATGTTGAAAAGAAGCAGAAATAGTGGACATACCTCCCTAGTTCTCAACTTCGGGAGGATTGCTTCAAGCTTTTCTTTGTGTAAGATGATGTTGGCTGTGAGTTTCTCATCTATAGCTTTTATTATGTTGAGTTTTGTTCCCTCTAGCTCTACATTTTCTAGGACTTTCATCATGAAGGTATTTTGGATTTTGTCAAAGGCTTTTTCTGCATCTATTGAGATGTGCATGTGATTTTTGTCTTTAAGTCCATTTATGTGGTTTATTACATTTATTGACTTGCATATCCATGAATTTAGGGATAAAGCCAACTTGGTTATAGTGTATAATCTTTTTGATGTATGTCTATATTTTATTTGCAGTGTTTTAGTAAACACTTTTGAGTCTCTGTCAGGGATATTGGCCTGTAGTTTTCTCCCTTTTTTTTTTTTTTTTTTTTTTTTTTTTTTTGTACCTTTTCCTGTTTTGGGTATTAGGGTGATACTGCCTTTGTAGGAGTTTGGGAGTACTCCTCTTATTTCTGTTTTTTAAATAGTTTTAAAAAAGAGTAAATGTAGTTCCTCACTGAAAGAATTCTAGTGTGAATCCATGTGGCCATAGACTTTATTTTCTAGCTGGAAGGCGTTTTATTGTAATTTCAATCTCCTCATTTTGTTTTGGATCTGTCTAGGTTGATGGCTTCTTCTTGGTTTCCAGCTTAATGGAGTATAGGTTTTTAAAGCATTACCTTATAACATTCTGAATTCTCTTGAATTGCAATATTTCCTTGTTCATTTCTGATTCTGTTCATTGGGGTCCTCTTTTTCTTTCTTTTGATTAGTTGAGCCAAAGGTCTATGAATCTTGTTTATCTTCTCAAAATACCAGCTCAGATTCATTGTTTGTTTTTATTGTTTTCTTTGTTTCTATTTCATTGATTTACACTCTGATTTTTATTATTTCTTGCCATTGACTGGGTTTGTATTTGATTTGTTCTTGTTTCTCCAAATATTTGAGTGGCATCACTCAATTTATTTGTACTTATTTGTATTTGTATTTATTTGTACTCTTTCTGATTTTTTTTATTGTAGGTACTTACAACTACAAATGTCTCAGGGAGGCAGGGGCAGGTGGATCTCTGTGAGTTTGAGGCCAGCCTGGTCTACAAAGCGAGTCCAGAACAGCCGAGGCTACACAGAGAAACCCTGTCTCAAAAAAACAAAAAAAAAAAAAAAAGCTACAAAAAATTTTTGTAGGACTGTTTTCATTGTGTCCCAGAGATTTTGCTGTGTTCTGTTTTCATTTTTCATTAGTTCCAGGATTTTTTTTATTTCTTTCTTGATTTCTTCCTTGATCCATTCGCCACTCATTAATGAGTTGTTTAATCTCCATAAGTTTGTGTATTTACTAAAGACCTTTTTTCTCTCTGTTTTAAGTTTTGTTACATTGTGGTCTGTTAGGCTACAAAGAATGATTTCATTCCTCCTGAATTTGTAAAAATTTGGTTTGTTTTGTGTCCCAGGATGTGGTGTATTTTAGAAAAGGTTCTATGTGCTGCTGAGTAGGTTGTATATTCCTTGATGTCTGGGTAGAATATTCTGTAGCTATCTGTTAAGTCCATTTGACATATGATATGTTTCTCTGTTTATTTTTTTGTTGTTGTTCAGATGATGGAGAAAGTGGGATATTGAAATAATCTACTATTAATGGGCTGATGCTAGTCTGTGCCTTTAAATCCAGTTGCATATAATTTTTTAATAAAATTGGGTGCCCCGGAGTTTAGTGCATATATGTTTAGGATAGTAAAGTCTTCTTAGCTAACTGTTCCTTTGATTAGGATTAAGTGTCTCTTATTTCTTTTGATTATATTTAGTTTGAAATCTATTTTGTCAGATATTAAGTTAGTAATGTCTGCTTGCTTCCTGGTCCCATTTTATTGGAATATTTTTTTCTATCCTTTTACATTAAGGTGGTACCTAGCTTTAAAGCTACGATATATTTCATGAAAAGAACAGACAGATGGATTTTGTTTCTTTTTTTAATTTTTTATTAATTACACTTTATATATCCCCCACGTACCCCTCTTTCCTCCTCTGCCATTCCCACCCTTTCTCCCCCTTCTCCACACATGCCCCTCCCCAAGTCTACTGATAGGGGAGGTCTTCCTCTGCTTCCTTCTAATCCTAGTCTATCAGGTCTCATCAGGACTGGCTGCATTGTCTTCCTTTGTGGTCTGGTAAGGCTGCTCCCCCCTCAGGGGGAGGTGATCAAAGAGCAGGCCAATCAGTTCATGTCAGAGACAGTCTCTTTTTCCCATTACCATGGAACCCACTTGGACACTGAACTGTCATAGACTACGTCTGTGCAGGGGTTGTAGGTTAGCTCCATGAATGTTCCTTGGTTGGAGTATCAGTCTCAGAAAAGACCCCTGTTCCCAGATTTTTTGGTTCTGTTGCTCTCCTTGTGGAGCTCCTGTTCCCTCCAGGTCTTACTCTTTCCCACTTCTTTCATAAGATTCCCTGCACTCTGCCCAAAGGTTAGCCATAAGTCTCAGCATCTGCTTTGATACCTTGCAGGGTAGAGCCTTTCAGAGGCCCTCTGTGGCAGGCTCCTGTCCTGCCTGTTCCCTGTTTTCCCCTTCTTCTGATGTCCATCCTCTTTGCTTTTCTGAATGGGGATTGAGCATCTTACCCAGGGTCCTCCTTTTTGATTAGTTTCTTTAGGTGTACAGATTTTAGTATGTTTATCCTATATTATATGTCTAATATCCACTTATGAGTGAGTATATTCCCTGTGTATCTTTCTGCTTCTGGGATACCTCATTCAGGATGATCTTTTCCAGTTCCCACCATTTACCTGTAAATTTCATGATTTCCTTGTTTTTTATTGCTGAGTAAT